ATCTCCTCTTTCAGGTTGAGCACTACAGTCTTTATTCACACGTCAAAAGATGCACCGTTAAACAAGCTTTAAAATGACGTAGAGCTTTTTTAAAAGTTTGTTTCTTTGCTGAGAAAGTTCATTTTTTCTAAATAAGGTGTGAAAAACTCGGAATTCTGCGGATAGTTCTCAATTTTCTTGATCAGAACTCAACTTTTATGCAATAAAAATATCAAATTCGGAATCAGGATGAAAAACTGAGTCGATTGATATGCATTTCGCAATCTTTAGTTGATTTTCAATTTTGGGTGAAAATCTCAGTAATTTTTCAATGCGAAAATTCGAAAAAAATCAAAGTAGTCGGTTAGGATAGAAATACATATCAATCGACTCACGAGGGAAGGCCACCAACTGATCCCTCGCTTTTGAGCCGAAACTTAGTTGACAAGGGGTAATCAAACATGCTGATTCCGAATATCATAATGGTTTTTGCCCGTTTCCACCTTAAAGCCCCGTTTTTCAAAGATCTTGGTTTTTAGGCCGAAAAATCATTTGCACCAAAAATTTTGTTTTATCTGTCCATATGAAAGAGCACATCACACAACCAACAAAAAACATCTTTTCAAGGCTTTTTGTAAGATTCTGAGCGAGTTTTTCAGGCCGGGAATTAAAAAAGACAGGATAAAACAAACTGGGTTTTCTCTGTACACATTTCCGTACAGAAAATTCGTGTTTTTTTTCTTTTCGTTCTGTTTTCATACATGTAACAAATTTTTTGGTGCAAATGATTTTTCGGCCTAAAAACCAAGATCTTTGAAAAACGGGGCTTTAAGGTGAAAGCGGGCAAAAACCATTATGGTATTCGGAAAAAAACACGAATTTTCTGTACGGAAATGTGTACAACAACAACAGTTCGACGATTGTAAGACTTGATAAGAAGTACAATACAGAGAAATCAATTGTTATCGGCATTATCAAAGAATTGACTATTAAAAATTGATAACACCTCATTCGGTTTAATGATCCGTAATTATTTCGTGGCCTCGAGTAATTCAGATTGTAGCTGCAATAGTGATTCAAGATGTGTTGAACCCGTTGCTTTATATGATTATATAGCTCAATCTTTATTGGAAACGATTGAGCTCGTGGTACCAGGATTTTATAGTGATTGCTTCATCACTGAGTCTCTGTTACAGTCAAATATGAAACGTTTCTACAATCGATCATGCACTAATCAAATACATTATGTCAACTCCTATACTTCATCTAGAGTCCCCATCCTTATTTTATCATTATCTACCATTTATCCACCAGATACAACAGTCGAGACTATGCTTAATGAATTATTCATTGAAAACTGGAATGCAACAATATCCTTCGAATCGTACTACAATAATTGCCATCCGTATCATTGCACATACATATCTGTTCAAAATCGTGATATCCTGTATATAATAACTACCGTAGTTGGAGTTTTTGGAGGACTTACAACTGTGTCAAAAATGTTTATTCCAATCGTCGTAACATTTATTCGAAAGAGAAAAAGAATTACTGACAGCGCTGTGGCATCCTCAGGTAAACTCTTTTCAGCCCGTTTGTCTTTTTGTGGCTCATCTTATAGCTTGAACCGTCAAAGAAAACTTGTTAACGATGCCTTGCTTTTCATTTACTTCAGCAATTGGCTTTGTTGTTCGATTTCAGCTTGTGCTCAAGCAATTAGAGCATTATGCTCCATCTTTCTTCCTGAACAAAGGTACAAAGAAATTCATGTTCTGATGAACAAATCGGTGTCTGTCCACAAGAACTTGATGTTTTTTCCAGAAGACGTCAGTGGTTCGCTACAAGAACTTCATGGTTTTTCGTGAACCAGTAGGTGTTTGTCCACAAAAAATTCAGCTTTCTTCCTGAGCAAATCGGTATTTCTACACAAGAACTTCCATCTCTGCACAAGAAGAAGTCCATCTTCTTGAAGAAAGTTCCATCGATGAAGAAATCCGGTGTTTCTACACAAGAGATTCATGTTTTTTCCTCTAAAAACCGGTGTTTCTCCACAAGAACCTCAAGTTTCTGATGATTCTGATGAACGAATCGGTGTTTCTCGACAACAACTTCATGTTTTTTCCAGAAAGAGTCGGTATTTCTACACAAAGACTTCATGTTTTTTTCTTAACAAATCGGTGTCTGTCCACATTCATGTTTTCCGATGGACAAATCCGTGTGTCTCGACAAGAACTTCATGTTTTTTCCTGTCGAAATCGGTGATTCTTCAGAAGAACATGTTTTTTCGTAACAAATCGGCGTCGGTCCGCATGACATTTATGTTTTCTGACGCACAAATCCAGATACTTTGTCGTGTCCTTGTTCCGAAATCTCAATTCCATATCGAACACTTTTTTCAATTGAACCAGAATGTCACGCGGTATGTTCAAGCGATTTCATTTCAGCTGACTGGATTAACTATGTTATTGGTGTTAATCCAACCTATTCATATTATGCCGATTTTCATTTTACATCGCCAAATCAATTTCAAGTTCTTTCTGACTTTTGTCAACTCTCAGATCGAACAATTAGTGATGCACTGGATGTATTTTATTCTACTATGTTTATCTCAGCTAAATCACTTGACTCTGATCTGTTTGTATATCGAACAAAAGCAATTCTAGCTTCATTCGAGGATACTACAATGAATACATTTCAGCGATCATTTCGTCAGATTCGTAGTATTACACAAGGAAATCAGTTGATGTTAGGATTACTATCGAATGCAGCATTTTACTTGTTGTTGTTGAATAACCAATATTTTGTTACATCCTATAGTGCACAGTATATTGATCCTGATGGCTCGTATTGTGACTGTCGTTATAGAGCATGTATTTCATTATCAGCTTTTTACATGGATGATCCGTCAGTTACTAGGTTGATAGATTTAAGCTGTGCTCTATTCTCTCGTTCTGTACTGCACGTATTTCTTTAAATACATAATTTTAGCCTCAACTTCTGTTAGAACGAGAAAATAA